GCACTTTCCTTTTGTTCATTTCAATGAGAATGAAAACAGATTTTATATGGATGCAATTCAAGATTTTACAATTGCTGGTACCTATATTGTAATGTGGAAGAGTCATGTATGCAGCATAACAAGGGCAACTTCTGATAGAAGCAACTGTGAAGATACTTAAAGCTGAAGGAACATGAGACCATTTGTCTTGTGACTAGGCATTTAAATATGAAAGTTTGAAGCTGCAGTATTCGAGCATGTTTGCTTTGAAATAACTTCCACTCCAATCACTATAATTTGTAAATAGCAATAGGTGGTTAGGTCTCTTTGAAATCAGTGTGAAAACTTAATTGCACTCTCCTTTTGTTCATTTCAATGAGAATGAAAAGAGACTTTATATGGATGCAATTCAAGATTGTTTTACAATTGCTGGTAAGCACCCACACAAAACAGTAGCCCCAAAAGGTGGGGGAGGCATAGATAAGGGATGGGCTGGTTCACAATTGCTCATACATCATGTGGTTGCTTAAAAAAAGTGGAGAAGAGGTGAAACAGCCCATCCCCAAAGATTTATCACACTTCAGCGGTCCCCATAGCCACCAGAGCTTTGGGAACAATGTCAAGAAATTTCATACGGTATTATAAGCAGTTGCAGATCTCGGAAATAAAACCACCAGAGCTACAAAACTCAACAATGTTGGGAACAGCATACATATTGCACCAATATTTAACTCAGGTTTTCGGTTAAAAGTAGTATCTATTATATACTGTAATGCAGTCAATGTTTTTATAATTTTGATTGTGTCTAATATTTCTGAATAATAATAATGATAGTGCCGTCAATTCTTACTTATGGCCACCTTTTGCAGGGGTTTTCTAGGTAGAGAGTACTCAGAAGTGGTTTAACATTTCCTTTGCAAGACGAATCCCCTAAGTTAGGTCTCTTTGAAATCAGTGTGAAAACTTAGTTGCACTTTCCTTTTGTTCATTTCAATGAGAATGAAAACAGATTTTATATGGATGCAATTCAAGATTTTACAATTGCTGGTACCTAATATTTAACTCAGGTTTTCGGTTAAAAGTAATATCTGTTATATACTGTAATGCAGTCAGTGTTTTTATAATTTTGATTGTGTCTGATATTTCTGAATAATAATAATGATACTGTAGTGCCATCAAGTCAATTCTTACTTATGGCCACCTTTTGCAGGGGTTTTCTAGATAGAAAGTACTCAGAAGTGGTTTAACATTTCCTTTGCAAGACGAATCCCCTAAGTTAGGTCTCTTTGAAATCAGTGTGAAAACTTAGTTGCACTTTCCTTTTGTTCATTTCAATGAGAATGAAAACAGATTTTATATGGATGCAATTCAAGATTTTACAATTGCTGTGTATTGTATTGTAATGTGGAAGAGTCATGTATGCAGCATAACAAGGGCAACTTCTGATAGAAGCAACTGTGAAGATACTTAAAGCTGAAGGAACATGAGACCATTTGTCTTGTGACTAGGCATTTAAATATGAAAGTTTGAAGCTGCAGTATTCGAGCATGTTTGCTTTGAAATAACTTCCACTCCAATCACTATAATTTGTAAATTATTGTAATGTGGAAGAGTCATGTATGCAGCATAACAAGGGCAACTTCTGATAGAAGCAACTGTGAAGATACTTAAAGCTGAAGGAACATGAGACCATTTGTCTTGTGACTAGGCATTTAAATATGAAAGTTTGAAGCTGCAGTATTCGAGCATGTTTGCTTTGAAATAACTTCCACTCCAATCACTATAATTTGTAAATAGCAATAGGTGTGTTCTTCTTTGTATACTATTTATTTATTGAAAATATTTTTATCCTGCCTTTCTCATGAAAGAGGACCCAAGGTAGCTTACATCATTAAAAGGGAATATAAAAAGCTAACAACTGAAAGTTTGAAGCTGCAGTATTCGAGCATGTTTGCTTTGAAATAACTTCCACTCCAATCACTATAATTTGTAAATAGCAATAGGTGCGTTCTTCTTTGTATACTATTTATTTATTGAAAATATTTTTATCCTGCCTTTCTCATGAAAGAGGACCCAAGGTAGCTTACCTCATTAAAAGGGAATGTAAAAAGCTAACAAAAGTAAGTATAGAAATACTGTACTAAAAAGGATCAAAGCAATACCATACAAAAAACAGAAGCAATGGCAAAACACATTCAAAACAGTAAGGTATAACAGTCCATTTAAAAATCCCCAGGCAGCCAGTCACTCAGGCAAAGCTTGCCTGTAGAGAAAAGTCTTTGCCATGTAGAGTTTTTGATTCAGCCTGGAAATGGATCGGCAGCTAGTGGAACTGCTGTAACAAGGGGATTGATTATATGATCCCTGTAACCAGCCCCGTTCAGCAGTCTGGCGGCTAACAGACCAGTGAAGTTTCCAGACACATTCCATAGGCTGCCTCACATAAAGAGCATTACAGTAATCCAGCTGGGAAGTAACTAAGGCATGTGTTACCGTGGCCAAATCAAACCTCTTCTGGAGTGGGAATAGCTGGCGCACTAGTTTTAATTGTGCAGAGGCACTTCCGGCCACCACCAAAACCTGGGCATGTAGGCTCAGAGACAAACCCAAGCTGCACACTTGTGTTTTCAGAAGGAAGTGTAACCCCATCCAGCACAAGCTGCATCCCTATTCCCTGATCTTCCTTTCGACTTACCAGGAGCGCCTGTGTTTTATATGGATTAAGTGACATAAGGACCAAAATTATCAGAAGGTAGGATAGAAGGTTTAAAGGTTTCTAACACTTTTTTCAAATGTCTATATTTTTATGCATATTTTTCCATTATGTTTATTTTAGTAGACACTTTCAATTTTTTTTCTTACAGATTGCATTGCAAGTTTGAAAAATGTACAGATAATGTATTGGCAGAAAAGAGATTTCTGAATTGTCTCTTGGTTCGTTTGAATAGTTTGCAATAGAAATGTAATTTAAATGTATTGTTCACTCATCCCCAGTTATGGATACTTTGAATAACCCAAAGGGATATGATTTTGTTAAGGGTGGTAGCCCTCCCCTAATGCAGAGACCAGTTATTTCACATAGTTACAGAAGAGTTTATTAGCCACAATTCTGCTGACAAACTCTTCTGGACATAGCTAGCCTAAGATTTAGGTGGCAAACAAGCAGTCTAATGCTAGAGTTGAAGCCATTCATTCAAATATCCAGCTTAGTAGAACTTGTCAGAGCTTGTGATCTGCTGGCATTGTTTTGAGAGCCTCGGAGTTACCTCGGTGTCATGGTGATGAAGTGACTGAGTTAGACGTTGTGGGAGAATTGCAGATATAGTGGTAAAAGTGACTTTATTATGTTTACCTTCTACCTTTTAAATCAAAGATAACACTCAACGTGGCTTTTAAACTTAATTTGGTAAGTAACAAGGAGAGTGTCAAAAAGGAGTTGGTGTATGTAGCGATGCTTTGCATGTATCCATTACAGTTTTGATACTGTGATGTACAGTAGATCAGTGGCCTGGTTGGG